GACCAGTTTACCATGTGGAATGTGACCCGCGCCCAGGCGGGTAACTATTCGTGTCAGGGCTATAACGGGGCCGCCAATGCCAGCCGTGTCTCACCCGCCCGTCCACTGCTCGTCCAATGTATGTATAAGTTATTGTTATATTGTAATAAAGTATCTAGTGCATTAATTTTTTTTATAAATGTATGTTTAAAATTATCAAGGTTCTTTATATGGTCGAGTAATTTTTATTATGAGATTAAATGTTTATGAGATTATGTATTATAGTAATCATTGATGCGATGATTTAAACGGCGTTTGATTTGTTATTTTGTGATTTATATGACTTTTAATGAAAGTTTGTTTTGATTTTGATTTCAATACACTTTACATAAATTCAATTTACTATTTAGTGTGTATTTATTTGCTCTCTCTCTCTCTCTCTATCTCTTTCTCTCTCTCCCTCTCTGAGAGTCAATCTATTGGTATTCATTGTAGTGTTAATAACAAGTGAATATTTTAACAAAAAATATTAATATATAAATGAAAGTAATATAATTTGATTTCAAAAAATTCAAATCAAGTGTTTGTATAACGAATGTCAGAGAGATATCGACTAAAAAATAAACTAAATATATCTGAAACTTATTTATTATTTGATTTTTTATATATCATGGTATGAATGGGAGACTCAATCATCGTTTGAATACATGATATACAGATTGTGTACTAAGAAAAAAATTTTGAACAAAAATTTGAATTTTTATCACATTTTAAATATCATTCACTGGAGGGAGAGGGAGGGAGAGAGAGAGAGAGAGAGAGAGAGAGAGAGCAAATAAATACACACTAAATAGTAAATTGAATTTATGTAAAGTGTATTGAAATCAAAATCAAAACAAACTTTCATTAAAAGTCATATAAATCATAAATTATATTACTTTCATTTATATATTAATATTTTTTGTTAAAATATTCACTTGTTATTAACACTACAATGAATACCAATAGATTGACTCTCAGAGAGGGAGAGAGAGGGAGAGAGAGAGAGAGAGAGAGATCCCAATCCTATGGTAAATGAAAATCTAGTTATGAATTATTCAGCAAATAAACCAGAAAAATATTTCAAGCCTTTCAATGGAGTAATTCAGTGAAAAATATTTTTGATCATGTGAATTTCCATATACTGTAGATTGTTATAATACACTCCACAACATGGGCTAAACAAATCACTTCCGATTCAATCACCAATTTAGTATATATTGAGTGTTTGTCTCTATATTTTATAATAAAATAAAAATTTAAATTTTTAGGCAGTATTCTGAATAAATTTTAAAATTCAATGAGTGTAGTTTTTATTAAATTTTAAATTATTATAAAACGAGTTAAAAATAACTAGTTAAGGATTATGGTTATCTTGAAAATTGGTACATAGTTTGTTATTAACAAACATTGCAACTAATTAACATAAACATTTCAGTTAGTTGTAAATTACATGAATATTATAATAATAATGTCTAGCTAAGTAATATAATCAATTATAAAAGTCTTAATCGCCAATTATGGCATGAATTTTCATATTATCATGATTATAATTTATTTAAATAATTTCATTTTATTTGTTGCATGAAAAAAATTAATGACATTTAAATTGAATGCCGACACAAGGGAGAGAAAAGTGATTGAAATAAATACAAAATATTCTCTCTCTCTCTCTCTCTCTCTCTCTATTTGCCGATAAAGTTGTCTATTGTTTACTGAACCAAAAACTTTAATATTTGATTTGATTTCATCGCTATTGTATTTGCATACAATCTCTACTAAACATATCATGTATTCACACAATACTATAGATCTATGGAGGATATTGTTTTATGAATGCATGCACATAAATCTTATCACGTTATATTACAAACCCCATATATTAAATGAGAAACATGCTTAATTTTATGTGCAAATAATTCTGAAAAATTAGTTACAAACTTATATACATTATAGCAATTCATGTATACATTAGTTAATACATAAGTTAAGCATAATTTTTGTAAAATATTTTTTATATTTATATATTTATTATTCATAAATCTGTTTCTTTTTTAACATGATTGCTAGATATATAAGTCTCATGAATAATTGATCTTGTTACATATATTTCATATTCAGTATACATAATAAACATGTATGTATTATAGCATTGGTATAACTACCGGTGCCTTTCGCTACTAACTATTTTGTTGTGAGATTACATGATTTATCTGAAAGGTGTAATCCATATGACCGTAGACTTACATACATCATAATATCAATAATTAATAGCATGGGCAAATATATATTACATAATAATATATGGATAACATACATGATATATCGATATTCTGTACACTATATACAGAGTATATAAGTTACTCAATAGAGATATGAATTTTTGTTCAATTTATATATAGTATTGATTTTCATGTGAAATATCTCTAAATTAGTTTTCATGAAATAAAATGTATTTTTGGGTATAAAATATAACTTGAATTTCATATATATAAGAGAGAGAGAGAGAGAGAGAGAGAGAAACCGAGATTATTTAATATAAGGTAATATAAGAGTTCAGGTATGACTCATCCATCCACTCCATCCCTATCCTTCCAATCCCTGTCTGTATTGACTATCACTTCAAAAGTTTATATATAGACATACATAGTATAAAGACATGACATAACTGTGCCATACATTGAGTACTAGTATATTGTATACAGTATTACATACAGAATATATAAGAATGTGAAAGAGATTTATACAAGAATTTTTCATCATATAAAATATTTTTGTATATAATAATAATCATTGAATTGAGTGAATATAATATACGGAATATTCTATATATTGCATAAAAATATTTAACAATTTATACTTATATCTTGTATATGTTTGGCAGAAAAATATATTTTAAATTAAGTGATATATCCGTTAGATTTGTATAAATTCATTGTTTTAAGTTTTGAGAATTTTTCTATGGTATCTCTCTCTCTCTCTCTCCTATTATATTAATGTAATTTAAGAATTTTTATAATATTATTGAACATTTAATATTTGAATATATTTATTTAATGGCATTACTTTTATTATTTATTTAAATATGTTCAAGAATTAGTGAATGTTAGAATTAAAATATAAAAATTCCCATCGATATAAAAAGTTGATTTAATTACAAAATTTGAAATTTCAACACTTTATTGATAGCGTTGCCCTAAAATTTTATAAAATTGAATTTTTATTTTTTATTTAAAAAATATATTAGATTTTTATTGTTATATTGTTTTTTAGATGTACTTTTTATTTGAACAATGCCGAATTATATTATATAAAAAACTAAAAAACAAAAACTCCACTCTCTGCTTGATAAATTAAATTATAGTTTAATATATGTGGGTTAAAAATTTCTAACACATACACCATGTTGTCTCTTCATGACCTGATTTGATAAAATTTTCAACAATTCTTATTGATTTTAAATTGTATTTTTCAAAATATTCTCAGAATATTCTATACACTAATTGACACAATTATTAGAAACCAAACTATAATTAACAAAGTATAATAATATATTGCAAAATAAATTATCATTGTATTTGATACAAAATCCCGGTTAGTTAATCTAGTGCCAACACTAAAAATGGGATTATCGTGCTGAAATTCAATTACCAAAATGAATTGCTTTTGACAGCAAAATGTCAAATAATAAGGCCATAGAATAACAAAACATAAATAAAGTGTATATAAAATTTTTAAGATAAATTTCTATAATTTAATAAACACATAGTATATTTTGAATTGTTTTTTACCATCCAAAATTTTACTGTGTGTTAGCTTTTGTTATATTGACTTTATGTCTAGTATTTTATATATCAAGTTATATGTTATGTATGTTTAGCCCATTTATTGATAGCCAGTTCCCTGGTGGTCTCTCTCTCTCTCTCTCTCTCTCTCTCTCTCTCTAAAAGACAATTTTGATTGAATTTTATACAGAATTTAGGCCAAAGTATTGAATACATTAAACTTTTACTACATATACACTAGCAAATTGAGTGCACCCTCTTTATGGTCAACTATTCAATCTGTATTTACTTATGCGCCAATTTTACCATATATTATTTTGGTTAATATATACCACAAAATATAGCAAAACACATAATAAATATATCTATTAATTATAATAGAAAATAGTCTGAGAGAGAGAGAGAGAGAGAGAGAGAGAGAGAGAGATGACTTATAGCCAGTGTTCGTTAATCCTATGCCACATATCACACACACAACACACACATACCATTTGATCGATGGTATGTTCCCTCGCACTCACACTCACTCACTAATCATTGGGATTAGCCGTTTAATCCCATTAATACTCTCATCGGCACAGAATATTCTCTATACACACAGAATATTCTCTATAGTATATATCGCACACCAGACGTACAGAATATTCTTACAGACATACAATATTATACATATAACTAAACTATAATAATAATAATAATCTCACAAATACATATAACCAAGCTAATCCATAAATAATGACCATGTTTATTCACCCGTACAGACGCACCAGGCGATGCGAAACTATCGGCGCTGGACAGCGACCAGTCATACGCTATAAAGGGCCAAACGTTGACACTTGAATGCCGGTGCAACGACCATGGTAATCCGGCCGCTCACACATTTATATGGACCCATAATGGCCGACGGGTAGAGTCAGTATCGGTGGCCGAGAATCACTTATTACGGGTGGGACCGGCGGATGTTCACACCCGGGGTGACTACGCCTGTGCCGCCATCAACACCGTAGGCCAGGGCCGGTGGGCTAACCTGTGGCTCGACGTTAAAAGTATGTATCTTACTATTAGTTATAGACGTGTGTGATTATGGTATAAATTTATAGAACATGTTTATTTTGTTACCCCCACCCAAATGTTAGCCCCGCCCCGACTGGTCCACGGGTTAGAGCCTACGCTGGGATCGTTGGCCAACCGATCGCTAACCATGTCGTGCCGCGTGGAGTGTCACCCGACGTGCGCTGTCCAATGGTTTCGCAACAACGACAGTCTACCCCCGATAACCGACCCGTTGACTGATTATTATTATCACGTCGAGTCTGTGGAGCATCAGTTGGATGAGCGGAACGGCGCGTTTGGGTCGTTGACGAGTTATCTGCACGTTCACAATAGTAGTGCCCTAAATGATCACGATGTTATCACATGCGCCTGTGATGGTAACGGCGTGGGTCCCGGTGTTAGATCGTCACTGGTTTACCGACATGAATGTAAGTTTATATTATATTTGGCAATATGCAATTTTTCATTTGTTTAATTTGCCCCCAATTTATGGCATATTTTGATATTTAGTAAATTTGAATGTTTTAACTTGTTTAGTTTAAGCTACTAATCAACTAGATTTAATATAATGCATCGTATCTATTAATATGATAAATGTATTATCACGGTAATATTATTTATATTTATTTTAACATAATAACATTGCATAAATATTACGAGAATATAAGTATTTAATTAATGGTAATAATATTATTATGTTAGTAATACATCATTGAGAGTGATATAGAAAGTCCATTGAACTTCTGATTTGAATTTTGCGTACAGAATATTTTGCAATATATTGTAATCAAAATTCAAATCAAAATGCATTAAATTTATTACTTTATAAATTACAATACAATACATGCAGTCTTATGCTTGTTATAAACACTGTGGATATTCATTGTATATATTACTAGAAAATTCATAAACATAACTAAAAATACTGAATAACTTAAAGGCAAATCAAATATTAAACAAATATATGTTTAAATAGGTTTGTAATATATGTTAAGGAATATATGAATATTCTATTGGTATAACTGATATATGTTTGCCTTTGGATATTTCTATTGTAGCTAGGATAGTGAAATTAATTTTATA